CACTTCACACTAATGGCATGACATTAGTGCAACTGAAGGTATTCACAACCACCGAATTAGCCCAACAGTTAGCCTGTTTCAAGGCTTTTTGGCAGAGCAGAGCAGAGCAGCAGAGCAGTTTTGGTATGCTATCAAATTTCAAAGCATGAGCCAGCCTTTCAAAATGCAACGTCTTGAATTCACCTTTGAAGTGCTCCCCTTGACTGACCCTACAGGTGAGCCAGGACCTCATACTCACTCCAGGCTGGCCACACTCGTTTTTGGTTAAACTAATAATGCACTAAAGTTTATCTACAGCTGTAGATATACCGGCCGTGTAACTCTGCACCAGCGCACTTTTATTCTTTCCACGGCTATTTGGGGGCCGAGAGACAGTCTGTCCTTACATCATTCACACAGCACAGCTGATGCAAAGCCATAAATATCCCTCTGAGAAATGGAAAACCAAACCTGCAAGTATGTGGTCCCCCTGAAACGGCTGCAGTGGAACACCTAGCACTAACTCACCTTAAAACACTGCTGCACTGATCACAACATAAGACATTCACATCCAACTAGCCACACATGAAATGCCCCCCTGCGGGCGATCTATCAGCAACTACTGAATTATTAATTCACCCCTCTAACAAGGCCTCTTTTCCCTGAGTCTGTGTGTGTGTATGAGGAAGGGACGGTGTTTAAGAGTATAGAAGTGATAAAGCAACAGATGGCCTACGAGCCAGACAGAAACAGGAATAAAAGCACTCGATGACACATCCAGCTGTGGTGGTGGGGAGACATTCACATATCTCCTCACTCGCTTGTTGACTTGACATCATGTGCAATTTCCACCGAACATTTGATTTCAGTGTTGTGGCATGTGTTTGTCTATAGAAACCAGATGGTGCTCTGGAGGCTCCGTTATGGTATCATAATGTTTATGGAATCACGATGGCACGAGATCTGGGGCAGATATATGAAGGAACTCCTCAGAGGAGTTGCAGGGCTGCCACAAACTGGGGGTGGACTCAACTGGAACGGCAATGAAATGGTATTACGACATCATGCTTCCTAAATTTTATGCCTTTCCTTTTGAAAACAGGATGTCGGGGCAGACGTGGAGAGAGATATAATTTTACTTAAGTATACCTCAGTGTTCCCAAGGTCACGGAAGTCCAGAGAAATTAGAGAGAAACAGTTGGCACACGGGATGGTCAGAGAAAGTAAAGACACAGCACATTGTTTCTGGAGGCAGGACCAAACAACAACTCAACCGACTGTTGAAAGATTTTTTACAAATGTGCAGTGTGAAATTTAACTTTTGTAATGAAAAATACCATCAAATTGCTTTATGGGAAATGTAGGATCCAGTATTTTTTGGAGCTTGGCCCATACTAGGGACTGAAGTTGGGATATCTTGGCCTTTATGAAAGTACAATACTAATTTGTTGGAGGACCCCTTTAAATAACATTTGAATGCAAAGAACATTACATTACCAACCCTAATAGTCATGTCAGTGCACCAGTGCCAAGCAGCATCCAACTTATGTTCATCCCAGGCTGGGGGGAGAGTCTACTGACACACACAGCTGTGCCCAGTATCACTGTGTCTAGAGCTGCAACAATTAATCAATTACTTGTCAACTATCAAATTAATCGCCATCTAATGTGATAACTGATTAATCAGTTTGAGTTACCGCCTCATGGATACAGTTACAGTTTACATCCATGTCTGTGCAGACTCATATGTAGCCATGACATTAGACACAGCTTCAAATATGGATGCTGCTGCAAAGAAGCTACAAATTCTAAAATGCAATACACATCTTCAGCCCGGCAACGCAGAACATCTATACAATCACCACAGTTTTAGTGTGGGCACCCAAGATCAGTGTCACCAAGTCAGTATCTGACCAAAAGTCTCCCTTTCTGTTTCTAAATTGTGATGTTAAATTACAGCCAGAGAAGTGTTTTCGCAGAATATTGTGATGTCACAGCTAAGTTCAACTTGGACCTGTTGGGTATGAAATGTCGTCACATTGTCATTTCATCCTATTAGATATGTATGTGAAATCTTGCCATAATTAGGGTATGAATTCTTGAGTTATGGCCAAAAGCATGACCTCTGTGGTCACTTCAACGACCAATATCTCATCAGTTCATCCCTCAGGTGGACGTTTGTGCCAAATTTGATGAAATTCACTCAATACATTCTTAAAATATTGTGTTAAGAATGGGATAGATGGACGGACAGATGGATGGACAAACAACCTGAGGTCATAATCCCCATGCAACTGCACATAAAAAGTCAAAATTCTCTGATAAAAATCATTAGTTGTAGCCTTAACTGTGTCAGCTAATAAGGAATACAATAATAATTCAGTCTTTTTTTTCCCAAATGGGATGATTAAGAGTCACGATGAGTGCTCGGTGCTGATTTCACTGATTAGAAGTTTTCATACATCTAACACGAGGCTAAGAAAACAAAAAGTGTGATATTAATACTAAAGAGTCAAATAAAAGTTATGTACACATTTTTTTCAGCACATATTGTGCTAAGGTCAAAAAGTTATTTTTCCTTTCACAGTGACCTAACAGTTTGTCTTGGCATGGTCCCCTCATCTCTGATCTCACTGGAAAACTATTCCAGTGAGATTGTGGGAGTCCATCATACGCATTAGAATAAGTGAGTGTTGAAGACATATTAGACACAGAGGGAGACAAGAGGATTGTCTGTTGGCAGCGACTGGGTGGATACGAGAAAAATCCCAGGAATGCTGAGAAAGCATAGCTTTCCATACTCGCAGACAGAGGAGGAAGGAAACAAGAGCATTCATAGAGCATGGAAACATATATACCACCTCACTCACACACAGGAGGTTACAAGTCACCCACAACTTTCCAAATTAATACAAAGATCTCCATTTATGGTCAAACAAAAAGAGGGGAAATGTTAAATATGAAGTTATTGATGCGAGTCATTAAGACCAAACCATATGAACTAAATAACCATGAGCTCTAAATAAATCTCAACAACACTGGCTGTCATCTAATCTGTACAAAAAACACTTAAACACGCTCATCTTCCAGGAGTTATCACTTGCAATCTTTTTGCCTTGCAGCGTTTAACTGAGCCCTTTTTTCCCCCGTCACTCCGCATGTTCCTCATTGTGTAAATCGCTTCTAAGCGACTGTCTGGGCTGAGATTCTTATCTCATCAGCTACAAACCAGCAAAGAAAGACCGCCCATTAAAATCATCCAATGTAAGCCAAGCGAGTGCAGGCCCCACTTGTCTTCCTGTTACTAAGGGATACTGTATATCTTTGAGGTTTACATCCCCTGGCTGGGTTGTTTTCATCCTCTGCGACTGTGTGATTCACTGTCCGTTCTTTTTATGACAATCGCGAGGAGAGCCAAGAAGTAAAGAGAGCAAACCTGTCACATCTTTATAACTCCTGTACCCTGAGGCCTGGTGGACTGCTGGAACAAGCCACAAACATATTAGCCACTGACCAGTCGTTAAGGCTCCAATCTTAGCAGTACTGTGGGGTTTGGTTTTTCATAGAATGGGAGCCATTATCAATTTCACACCAAGCTGCTTAGACGAACCTGGGTCTAACAAAATGTATGGAGAGACAGGCGGACTGCAATACAGAAAATGCAAGCCATATTTCTGTCAGCGAGGAAAATAATCAGCATGCGTAATGTACCTGGATTGCAGTCAAACTGGCCTCCTGCACCGGCTGATTAGTCAAGGTAATTCAACTATAACTACTGACGCACCCGCATGACATTCACCCCACAGTACGCCATGCCAGTCTACACTGAAAGTCAACACCTACATCCCACCAAGAATCCTTATTTTGTTTTGGGCAATTCATCAAATGGGGTTTTTACATCTGTTTGGTCTTTTATGGGTAGAAGAAAATGTTTCTTGTCATGAATCCAAGGGGAACATTGTGTTTCTGACTGTGTTGCCTGCCAGAACGCTGAAACAAGACATGTACTGACAAGGCTGGTGATAACTGCTGCCCTCGCCACAGGATTACGTCAACTCTACAGACACCTCAATGCGATGCTACTTACAACACACACTAGACTCTTTAGGCCGTGCTAATCAAAGCAGTGCAACACTCGTTTGCAGCTTTTCATTTTAATGTTACATTAAACCTAACTTTTTGGCAGCTACAAAGAAACAAAGCATTTAAAGTGTTTGAGAGGCTATGCGGAGTAACCTCATGAGACCTGACCCGTATATAATTACCTATTAACTCCTAATTATCTCTGAAATAAGAAACTGCACGTACTGAACATAATTGATGATTTAATAAATGTAAATCAGTCTAACACTTATATATCACCCCAGCCTCTAAGGTAGCAATATAACAACGTCAATGGGGAATGAATACATAATAGGAAGTTAGATCTGTGTGTGCAATAGCTGGCAGCAACGTAGGATTTTATGTGTGCGCATGCGTGCGTGGCTGCAAGTGTGAGTCTGTGTGTTTGTCAGGCAAAGCAGCAGTGCACTTATAAGGCCTGGAAAGTGGTTGCTGCTCTCTTCAATAGCAACAGTAGTTTATCGAGCTTTTAAAATTCATCGAGTGAAGCGGTAGGGACCAACCATGGAGAGCACAAAGCACTGAGAAACAAACAGCACGTCCTTGTGACCAATTAAAACTATTAATCCAAAAGGTACTGCATGTTGAGAGTGACTGGATGAAGGCTGGCATGTGCACCATAAAAGTGTGAGTGATATGAAAATGAACACCACAGTCTGCAGACAATCCTTCACTGAGGAGGCCTGATGAAAGATGACATGCATATGCTCAGGTAATGTGGAGACCTAGACTACTGAACAATAACAAAATCCTGTAAATAAGCTCTCATATAGAAGCATGGAGGAACACAAAATACTTAACAGGGTGATCCTCTGTGCAAACCTTCAAGTCGGGCGTAAATACATCGCTGATTACCGATGCAGAGAAGTACAAAACTCCAATAACAAACAGTTTCTTACCCTTGACACAGTGAGGGGCATGCTGAAGTCCTTGCCACCCTGCAGCCTGAAGCCCCAAGGCGCTGGGCCACTGAGGGTTACGGAGTATACGTTCATAGCCTTGGGGGAAGAGAAAGGAGGAAACGGTGTCTTAATTAGTCAGAATGCCCGGAAAAGGTTTTCGAGGCCACACGTCCTATTCTCCCTTATCCAAGCAGCTGAACTGCTGGTTGTTTCCAACACAAACATCCCAAACAGAAACTCACGCTGAAGTTGTTTTCTTTCACAGTATGTACTGTTAAATCTTTAAAAAGTTCTGTTTTAACAATAACTTTGGGTGGATATAATGAATTGTTCTATTTGAATAAGGCTATCTGCATTAACTTACAAAATGATAAAATACCAGATGTGCCGCTGGGACACAACATTCCTACATTCATCAACACATAGTTGCGTTATAATCTCAGGTGAGCACTCATATAGTGGCCCAGTTTAGAGTGTAAAGACTATACTATACTGCGACTGAGCATTAGAAATCGACTGGACAATTTGAACAATGGCAACAGTCAACAGTTATCCTCTGTCTTTCAAAGGGAATACAACCAACTCATTGTATATAAACTATTATGAAACACTGGAGCACTTCCCCACAGCATACAAACTTGCCTTAACATTTTTGAATATTTTACATAATTTGTACAGCTGTGGAACCAAGACAACAGTGTCAAACAACTTCCCCAGAACTAATTAGTGACATACAATGGCAGGGTCACAAAATAACCAGGTAATTTTAAGAACCAAACGCAACTTGAGACACTGGGCTATGTCACTTGCTCTGCTCTGCTCTTCCTTGCAAGCTACAGCTGCACCACTGACCTCTGTACCTGCACCCCTTAACACACCTCCTGCCTCACCCCTACCAGGTGTCATCGCTTTTGGTGACACACACCTAGCTTCCTGAGATGCCACCATGCAAAACCTACCTTGTCCTCAAGGGCTGGCCTGTCGCCCAAAACCTGGGAGAAAGCTAAAGAGTCAGTCAGCTAGGGCAAGCAGATTCTCTCCCTGTTGGCAAACCCTACCCCCGACACTGTCTGCGACACAGGCAAGCCCTCGCCTCTGCTCACTCCTCAGAGGCTATATAAGGAATGTAAAACTACACCAAACTATTTCAGCCCAACACCCACATGAGTCACAGAGAGGGAGAGAGGGAGAGAGAGAGAGAGAGAGAGAGAGAGAGAGAGAGAGAGAGAGAGAGAGAGAGAGAG